TAAGCATTTAGGTATGTAAGCTGTGTGATGTATGCACGGGTTTATATATATGAAATTTTACGTGCAACAGTTAAAGCAACCACGCCAACCAGAAAGTCAAAGTAATAAAGTAAAATTATTGATAAATAAAAAAATAAAAATAATTTAAATTGCATTTATAAAAAAAATTCACGGATAAATGATTTTAAAGTGCTTTGCTGATTGCCGTTGGTATTTTTATTATTTCTGTTTATTTTTTTTTTTTGGTTTTTTGATTGGTTTTTATTATTTATAAACGAAAGATGCAAATTTTTATTTAAACAAAAGATTTTACTTTTGTGTGAATAACACCATTTACAGGCTAATTATTTAGTTATACAATAAAAGCTGCAATTTAAAACTAAAACTAGTTAAGTGCGTGTCAGAACATTTACAGAAAAAGGGTTTGCACAACCCTCTTCATTAAAATTTTGGAATCATTTATAAATTAATGAAATAAATTTGTGAATATAACCTACTTTTTAATTTCTACACTCTCTTGTACGGTACTATTAACTGTTATAAAATATCGAAACATCACTTTACTACTATTAGCTACACTTTTGAATTAAGGGAGTTAGTAATAAGGTTGACACTTGTCGTAGATCGCTGACATTTGAAGCACTTTTTGAAACATTCTCCAATATTTTTCAGATTTGACTCCCAGTGACTAATGGGGTTGAGATCTGGAGATTGGGGCGGATGCGGCAATGTCTTTTTGCATTATGAGCGAGTCACATACGCACATCATAAACACTATATTTCAGAACATAGTCATATTGAAAGCTAAACGTAGCTTGTAAATTCAAGATTTCGGCACTTTCTTTGACATTTCTCTTCTGGATGGCTATATTATATTTTACGTCCATAATACCGTCAATGAATTCTAATCTGCCATTTTCAGAGGACATACAGCTCCATATAAATATTATGTATCACAAACATAGCAGGATTATTTTTTTGCAGTTCGATGATTAGTTTTCTCCAAACCATTTAACTGAAAGATATTAAATTTTGTTTTGTTCGGGAAGATTTTATTGTTTCAAAAGTTAACTTAAACTTGATTAAGAACTCTTTGCATAGGCTTAATGCTTCTAGCAACACACCAACTATAATAGATTTCTTGCAGTATGCTCTTGACCTACATCATTGATGTAACGGTTTCTATCCATTATTCCTTGAATATCGGCATAAGATTTGCCTTGATTTTGTAAATATAGAACTGATTTCCGCTGAGATTCGGTGGTTTCTTTATGAATTGTTTGTTAATATTATAGGCATTATGGAATTTTTAGCTAGAAACTAAACCACCACGTCATTTATAATGTAGAATTAACAAGTCTTTCGTATTTCTTATGATTTTCTAATTTTAAAAAATCAATTATAAGAAATAATTTAACGAAGTAAAATGAATTTAATTGTTAATTAAGTATTTTATTTGAAAAAAGTTTTTGTTAATTAAAACTCGCTGCAATCACTGTATGTAATACAGTAAGATCCCGATTTGCGTTGTTAATTGGGACTAACAAAATGTTACGCAAATCGAAACAATAGCAAATTGAATCACATTTTTCCATATATTTCACTTCTTAAAATATTTTGGTTCTCAATCACTTGTTGAAGGAAAATTTCCTCTTAACTTATTGAATATCGACAGACCCTTATTCTGAATTAGCATTTGGCTCAATGACATTATTTTTTGATTCTTATTTTCTATCCACATGGATAAAACGGACACCATTTTTACAATTAATGGACTTCTAGTTTTTGTTACTTGTTTAGCCTGCAAAAGTGTGTCAGCTTTTCCGTACTCTTTTATATTGTTCGCATCTTTTTTGATTCTGATTTTCTATTCAATTGGAGAGAAGGGACTTCATTCTTACAAATAATGGGATTCTAGTTTTAGCGACTTGATTGGCCTGCAAATGTGTGACAGCTTTTCCATAGTACTTTATCTCGTCCGTATCACGAGAACAAATTGTTCTTACAGAAGTTGGACCTAAACCCACAATTTTCCCAATGTCAGCAGATTTTTCTTCAAGTTTAAAAAATTTTAAAATGTCTACCTGTTCTTCCAAGGAAATTCTTTTTCGTTTTGGGCTCATTTTTATACTTTATAAAGCAGAAATTTACCTTTCCACTTCACCAAACAAATGTAAATTAACATCTTTAAACTAAACACTTAATACATGTAAGTCCCCTTTTACAAAATGTGACCTACAAGAAATAAAATGGAAAACCCCTCTATAGCAGTGACGACTGCTCTAAGGTGCGGAGGTGTGCGGTGAACACCCTAACATAATTTGCAAAATGTCAAATAACATAGGTATAGGAATTTATTAATTATCTTCACATCAAGAATTATTATTATTTATTACATTTCCATATATACACATTTTTAAAGTTTTAGCAAAAACAATTAAATATAATTGTCTATGAAAACTCAATCAATTTGCTTCTGTTAGCTGCTATACTTGTTAGTTGTGCTCATATATTTGCAGCTCAATTCACAGAACATTTCTATTTTATTTCGTCTCTCCCCTTTGTGTTCAAAGAAGGTGGTCGCACATTTATACGTTGCATATGAACAAAATAATGTGCGTGTGCTCCCGTTCGTAATATCAGAAATAGAGATTTATATTTGGGAATTGTATGAGAGTAATTTTCTGTTCTATTCGAATATCAACTGCATGCATACGAATCCAACATGATGATTTGCCAAAGTGGTTGCATGAGCGGCTGAAGTTTGCAGCTCATCTCGCCATACATTTCTATCACATTTCGTCTCTCCCCTTTTAACAGTAGCACCCACGAATTTCTGTCGCTCACTGTGCGGAGTACATGTGCGCACATTTATACGTTGCAAGTGGGTTTGATTTTGTTTGATCACTGCATAAACATGTATGGTTCTAAGTACAAACTCTTTTGTTTGAAAAAAGTTGGTTTGATGTTACGAGAATTATGTGAAAAGTTTTGTTTCTTCCATATTGATATAATATTCAACTTATATATATATAAATTATTAATTTAATTTGTTTAATATATTATTTTGTTAATAAATTGTTAGTATAATATTGCGAATATATTGTTGCCTTATATAATATAGTTATTATTAATAAAAGATCTCATATATTTTAATATAAGTGGTACATGTAAAAACAACATTATAGAAGGGCCGCACACCCTTCCAGATAGGGCACGCGTCGTCACTGCTCTATAGGTATGTATTAAAATACTTCGCGAATCGAAACACTACCGACGCAATTCGAAATCAAAACTTATTTTTTTTTTGGCAATGCAACTCGGGGCGACGTAAATCGAGGTATTAGTGTATTGAATATATGCTAGTCCCACTAATGCTCAAGAACGACTATATCTCCCATTATGTATCTTGCCGATCCATTTTAATCTTTTCTCGCACTGTATCCATGTTTTCTGATGCACCACCCATTGTTGGACGATCTTTACGAAATTCGCCGTGAAGAGCATGAAGATCACGTAATATTTGATAAATATTTTATACTCTAGTATTTTTTTCAATATTTGCAAAACTAAGGATTAATTATTAATTTACTGCTGGAAGTAAATTCTTGAAATTATCTAAAGATATTTACTGAATGAAAAAGTAATTTAAATTTAAATTTAAAATTTATTTATGTATTTTGTTTTCAGATTTTCATTCAAATTGCACATTTAAAATATTTAATAAACAAAAACACTTATTTTTGTATTTCTCATTGCTTCCATGCCAGTACGCCTTTTTGCCCCTTTCCCGGTTTATTTGTGAATTTATATTCTACAATTTTTTGTTTTTTGCTTTGCTTTGCCTTAATTTTTATTCCTCTTTTTATTTTCAATTTTTTTTATTTTATTTATTACTTTTTGTGTACATTTTCAGTATTTTTTTGAGTTTTGTTTTGTATACAATTTGTGTATTTTGTGCTATTGTTTCCACATTCATTTTCGTTTTATGTTTTGTTGATAAGTATATAAACGAACACCGCATACACCCACCGACCACTTTGCCAATCAGTTAACCACCGGTGAAATCGTGTGGTACCGACATGGCAATGGATTGGTTTGTGGAGCCTAACGCACATGGCAACTGCAACAATTGCTGCAGCAAAGACGTCGGCATAGGCAACGTTGGCTGACGGTTGTTTAATGCACTAAATCTGTACGTGAGAGTGAATATGTTACGTGCTGTTCATATGTTTGCTGCAATGTTCAAAATATTTATGAAGGGGGTGGTGTTGGGTGTTTTCATTCGTTTGTGTAATAACGAGAAAATTTGCCATGTATTTGAAGTGCTTCGGGAGTAAAATTTTACAATTGGGAATTGTGAAGTTTTGTGCTTGTTAGTTTATTTTGTTGTTGTTGTTATTGTTGTTGTTAGTATTGCTTTGTGTTATATTTTACATTTGCCTTTTGCAAACGAATGCAAACGTATGCAAACGTCTGTATGTGTGCTTATTGTAGCAAAATCTGTGCAAACGCTTCTCTTTTTTGCTTTGTGTTATGCTCTTGCATATTTTCTGCATATTCCTATTTCTTTGCGTTTTGTTTTAAATTTTTAACAGAGACTTTTTTGTTAGTTAATGCAATTCTTGTTTCTACGTTCTACACAGTCTCCTACGATTAGCAAATTCATCTCATTGCTATCGCTATTCGTTATTCGTTATTCTCCTTCCTCTTCGCAATGCACAAGTAATGCGCGCTCATTGAAATCGCTTACTTCATCCTGCTGCTGTCCAACTCTTTAACTTCGACTGTCTGGTCTGGTCTGCATGTCTTTCTTACTATTCCATCTTATGGTGGGTATTGTAGTTATCGCTTTGCGTCCCGTATACCGGTCGGCTGTTTGTTTTTTACCTTTTATTCCGTGTTTTGTTTACTATACTTTATGTGCCGAATCCATTTATGTTATTTTTTTTTTAACTTTTTCTTGTTGGGTTGTCGTTTAGTTTCTTTTGACTTTTTTAAATAATTTTCTATTTTTTTGTTCTTTTTTAATTTGGTGTGGATTTTACATGCGTTTTCTTTATTCTCTTTTCACAACCATTGCTTCTACTCTGCGCCTCAGTATGAAATTTACTTCAGCACTGTTTGCTGCTCTGCTGTGTTTTTGTTGCCTGTTTGCCTGATTCTCCTCTGGTTTGTGTCTCTTGTATCTTTTTCGCTTCGCTTTTGGAATCTGAGCAGCTTATTTCATGTGGCGCTTTATTTTGTTGTATTTCTCTATTTTCCCCAATCACATTGTGCTTTTTCATTTTAATTCTTATATTCTCGCAGCTCTACTTTCAGTTATTCGCCGATAATTGATGTCAAAGGACGCGTTATTGTGACGGAATACACCGCATATAATTAACAGGATAATATAATACAAACAATATTGCTGGATAATCCGTTAACTAACTTTGTACGTTTGTTGCGTATTTGCGTTTGTCGTGCGTTCGTGATACAAGTGATATACATAAAATGCCTAAGGAAGATCCATTCGTAAATCGTGCACAACTGTTGAAAGCGATTAAAAAGTACCCAGAGATATGGGATTCAAACAATAAACTGCACATGTGCCGAAGTGTTACTGCGCCGATGTGGAATGAGATTGCCGAGCAGTTTGGAGGGCATGTGCCGACCGGTAAGAGTGTTTACGTGAAACACAAAACATTAACACTCTTCTTTCTCTTTTTCACTTGCCGGAAGAAGAAATTATGTTTTGTTGTGTGCACGTAAAAAAGTTAACAATTATTTAATATGAAAAAATATACATTTTGTATTTTTTTTCATTTTTGTTTACACACAAAAAAAAAGTAAAAACAATATTTGCAAGCATTAAGTGTTTGCACGTGATTACGTATTAAGCATTATAATCCCAATTATTGAGAAATTTCTACAAATGAAATTAATTAAATTCAAAAAAAAATATTAAATTTTTTTTCTATTTTTTATGGTTTTTAGTATACATCATTAAATTAATAGTTAAATATTTTTAGCTTAGAATATAACAATCATGTTTTAAAAATTAATTAATTCTTTAAAGCTAATAATAAATTGTAATTAATTATAATTAAGAAAATTTGTTATACTGCAAATTTTAAATGGTCTTTAAAAATTTTCACTAGAATAAATAATAATTTTAGTTATTCCTCGTCAGACTCGTGGAGTAACATTAGCATGACTTTCTCAGCACTACGTTCCTTGATTAGGTTCTATACATTAGAAAGAATATATAAATCATGCAACAAATAATGCCTCTATAAACAGAATAGTATTGAAATTTATAACAATTAAAAATAAATTATATATAATTAATTAATTAATTAAATTATTCTACAACTGGTTTATGATTTCATTCTAATATAAACACAACAAGTAAATTTATTAATGAAAACTTTCACAGCAAACTAACTAATCTCCAGAAAAATGTGCGACAATACAAGTCAAGTACAGCTATGGGTCAATTGATCAAGGAGCGCTGACTCTGAGCTTCAAATTTGGCAGGACATGAGTTCGGTTCCTGGTACTTGCAGTCTTTAAAAAATATTCACGATTAATTAAATACAAGAATTATTTCCAAGACCACTGATGATGGATATTTGGCAATACTCAATACAGTTGTATGGTCAGCCAAAAATTAATTAAAATAATACAAAATTAATTTTTGCAGCTCACTATTGTTCGAAAAACCTTTTTATAAAACAAATAATAAAAACTAATCTTTGGATTAAAAATGTATACACATGTTTTTTAATCTTTCAGTAAAATTGCAATCAATTTGGAGTCAAATGAAATATCATTATCATAATTTAGTGCATCGTCAAATTTTACATAAAGATCGTTTCACAACAAAATGGGAACATTTCGAACCGATGTCTTTCATGTACAACATAACGGTTGCGAAAATTGTTGGCACCAATACTTCACAGGAATCAAATCAAGCTGTACAACATATAAGTCCATCGGCATCACAAACAGCACAATCGCAAACACAAGGCAGAGGACGTCCTAGTGGTAGCTTCACATGGTTGCCAACAGCACCGGTTCAACATGACATCAATGTCGAAAATAATTCATATATGACTTTTACTGGACTTGTACCACCAGCAGCTATAACTGTAGAAGCAACGACAACTCCTATGCGTAAACCTGGTAGACCAGGTCCATTAAATAATAGCATGCGTGGTCGTATTATAGATGCGATAAGAAATCATTCAATATTATGGGCTGGGAAACAACGTGATCAACGTCAAGGACAAAATCGAACTTCAGCGATTTGGAAGGAGGTTGCAAATGAGTTGGGACTAACACCAAGTAAGTAATATAATTCGATTAGTAAAAATTTTGAAATAAGAATTACAAAATATACAAAATTTAAAAGTTACTACAAATAAAAAAAAAACGTCTCTACCCAAAAGTGAAATTTAATTTAAATTATTTAAAAAAATTATTGAAAAAAATCTTCAAATCAATAAAGTTCAAATACTAATACAATATTTATTACCATTTACATACAAATTCGCAATATATCCGGTAATAGTTTACCTAACATATTCTTGAGATTCTTGAATCATCCATCAAACATATTTCATAAAAATAATTTTAATCAATTTTTTTTTTTTTTGGATTAAAGACCACCATGATATTAATGTTTTTAATAAGGACCGCAAATTTTTAGAATATTAAACTGCATAATTATTTTAATATTCTTTATTCATTTCTGGTATAATGTATAATAAATTGTATAAGTGCACAGGTACATTATATAGGCTAGAAAATAGGTGTATTATAACTTCAAAATTTTTTATGTTTTTTTTTTTTAATAAGTGAGGTCGCAGTGAACAAGTTACAAACTATATATCCATACTTGTTAAATTTGATTTAGGGATCATTTTAGCCATCTCGCCGTATATTAGATATATTGCTTGCTCCTGTTATAATTATAAATAAAATAATTGAAAATTAAATTTTTCATTCTCTTTCAAGACATTCAATTTAGGTTGAAAATTTGATACATATGCATCTTATTAAGATGTGAAGACTAACTCATTTTTGTATTATCTCAATACGAAACTTTTGCCATACAAAATCCACACAAAATCCATGCAAAGATGTGAAAGATAAGCACGTGCTTATTTTTTAAGCCTGTTGTCTTAGTAAATGCTGCTTTGAATCATAACTGCAACTTTTGATAAAATAAAATAATATACATTGTGACCGAAAAGCTTTCGGAAATTCTCATTTAAAATTCGCGCGCTGTATATTTTTCGATATTTTAAGTTTATGTAGTTTGGCAGCACTGTCCTTAATTACTATGCCAAAAATGAGCGCGATCTGTCGGACAGTTCGTTTACGGCAGCTGTTGAAACCAGTTCACCTCAGTAGTGCGTTGCGAAAAAAACAATGGAAAAAAATATTGAACAAAGAGTTTGCATCAAATTTTGTTTTTCGAACGAAATTTCGTGTGCAGAATCGTTGCGAATGCTACAAAAGGCTTATGGGGAATCAGTTTTATCGAAAACTCAAGTTTATGAGTGGTACAAAGCCTTTCAGGACTGTCGTACGACCGTCGAAGACATGCCGCGTTCTGGACGACCTTCGACCTCTACCACCGACGAAAACATTGAAAAGGCAAAGGAAATCGTGTTCAAAAATCCTCATGTGAGTGTTAGAGAGATAGCACGAGAGCTAGGCATCGGTCGTGAGATGGCTCGTTTGATTTTGGTGGACAATTTGTGTATGCGACGTGTCAACGCCCGGCTTGTTCCGATTCACCTCAATTTGTTCAACATTATCAACGATTTTAAGGCCAAACATTCAATAAATACCATCGAACAGCCACCGTATTCACCTGATCTTGCACCGTGTGACTTTTTCCTGTTTCCCAACCTCAAATTACCACTCAGAGGAACGCGTTTTGAATCCATAGAAGACGTAAAACAGAATTCGCAGAGGGAACTCAAAGCCATACCGGAAAGCGCCTATAAAAAATGTTTTGATGATTGGAAGAAACGTTGGCATTTGTGTATCGCTTCTAATGGAGCATATTTTGAAGGAGATAAAATAAATATTGATGAAGATTAAGAATTTTGCGTTTTATTTAAAATTTTCCGGAAACTTTTCGGTCACAATGTAAATCTGTGAATCAAAAATGTTTGTTTTTAACAAAAATGAAATGTAAATAAGGATGCAGCATTAAATGAATTTATAATTTTTTATTTAAAATAAATTTAATACAATAAGTTCAAAAATTGCTGAAAACTTTATATATTTATTTCCTATCATCATAGGAAGTAAATTTCAATTAAACAAAATACTTTTACTTTCTTTTGCTTCACTGTTCGCTAAGCTCTGAAAGGTGAAGTTTAATACCATGTTTCCACTGCAGCTAAATCAACTTATATTAATGAACTTAAAATTTGATCGTTTCCAAAAGCAATAGGTACGTATAGAAAACACTATGCAACATATCAAAAAAATTTAATCATTATTAAAAACAAGTAATAAGCATTACTTTCGTCAACAATTTTGAGAAGGCGCAGGAAATGCTGGGCTTTTCTTAGTATAGACAGAAAATATTATTATTTTAAGCATAAAATTTAAATGAGTTGCTTATTTTGAAAATAGCAAAGTATTGCGATTTTTCACAGATCAATTACATATTTTATTTGTAAAACATATAATTTGTTTTTCGTTTATTTAGCATCAGGTGTCAAATATGTAAAATTTCGATCATTTCCCTTTTGGCAAATATATTTTGCAATGTTGCATTCGATACTTAATTTATTCTTAACTAAGTTGATTTGTATGAGAGCTCTTTCTACGGTAAATCAACTTAATTAGCGACCTAAACTAAATAAACAGTTTTAATGAAGGCAATGGGAACATACTATAAAAACTTAAACTTAGCTAAAAATCTCTGACTCATGTAAGATAAGCTAAAATACTGTAATATATCATTTATTTATTTCAGTTGATTGATTGCAACTATTAAAAAATGTGATATACATTCATAATCTATATACATAAAAGCAAGTCGTGTTAGTTAGACCACTCATAACTCAAGAACGGCTGAACCGATTTTAATTATCTTTGATTTGTTAAAATCGTCTCCGCTCCGAATAGCAGAATACATTATAAAATATTGGAAAAATCCACTTATTTTAGCAAAAATAATAAATTTGTAAATGCTGTTTCATTCAAATATTTCAAATTTCAAATATAATAAATTCAAATATAATAAATAAATATTGTTATCAATATACCATCGAATCCACGTGACCTGTGGAACAAATATAAGGATAACATGTCAGAAGACATTTTACATAGAATTCGTGTCAGTTCAAGAAATCCCGATCTTGAGGTGAATGATGAAATGCATAATCAGGCTTTGCTCTTGATCGAAGACATATGTTACCATACCTGCGGTGGTTTGTTAGTCAGATTAGGAATGCCAGCTCCTGATCGTGGAATAAATAACGCATTTAATCGAGAATTGGAACGTGCACGTGAATATGATCGACATGAATTAGACCAATCAGTTCAAACTAATGTACCTCTATTGAATCCGCAACAGAAGGAAGTTTAACATTAATGAAAGCGATTGATGAATAAAATGGTGGCTTTTTTTCCTGGATGCCCCCGGTGGGACTGGTAAAACATTCCTCATGTCATTATTTTTGGCCACTGTTCGTGGGATATTCCGCCATTTCGGTAGCAGTAGCTTCTTCTGGAATAGCGGCTACATTGTTAGAAGGATGCCGTACGGCTCATTCAGCGTTAAAATTGCCGTTAAACCTTCAAACTACCGAGCAACCGATATGTAATATTGCAAAGCATTCTGCAATGGCTAAAGTTTTAGTAGCATCTAAAATCATCATCTGACGAATGCACAATGGCGCACAAACGCGCATTAGAAGCATTTGACAGAATATTGAAAGATCTTCGCAATGACTGGAGATGTTTTGGAGGCGCAATGATTTCACTGTCTGGCGATTTTCGCCAAACACTCACAGTCATTCCAAAATCGACTGCTGCCGACGAAATAAATGCTTGCCATAAATCATCAAATCTTTGGCGCTATGTGAAGAAACTTCAGCTGGTAACAAACATGAGAGTTGTATTGGTCAACCATACATCTGCTGAAGAGTTCTCCAAGCAATTGCTGTTAATCGGTAATGGCCGTGTGGCTGTTGAAGAATCGAGCGGAATAATTGCATTTCCTTCAAATTTTTGCAATTTCGTCTCATCAAAAGACGAACTTATCAATGAAGTATTTCCGAACATCATTGATAATTATAAAAAAAAAAAATGGTTGAGTGAGCGAGCAATTTTGGCAGCTAAGAACAAAGATGTGAATGACTTAAATTTTGTAATTCAAAATCAAATCGTTGGTACTCTGCATACATTCAAATCTATTGACTGTGTAACAAACGAAGAAGAAGCTACCGACTATTCAATTGAATTTTTGAACTCCTTGGATGTGCCTGACTTACCACCGCACAATTTACAATTAAAGATTGGTTCGGTAGTCATTATGCTTCAAAATCTAAACCAACCAAAACTATGCAATGGAACGTGATTAGTGATAACAAAACTGATGGCCAATGTGATTCACGCAATGATACTCAAAGGAAAATTCCAAAGTGATGAAGTTCACATTCCGAGGATTCCAATGATCTCAATCGATATGCCCTTTGAATTTAATCATAAGGCCAATCCTTTAGTGTTTGTGGTCTGAATCTAGAAAATGCATGTTTTTCACATGGTCAATTGTACGTGGCATGTTCACGTGTAGGCAAACCATCTGCTTTATTTGTTCTTGCGCCTGATAAAAAAACAAAAAATATCGTATATCACAAGGTTCTTTATTGAAGAGAATCAATTGGAATGCAACCCATAAGTTCTTGCTGACAGACCATTAAAATAATTAATTATATATCAATATCCTAATAAACTATTGAATACAATAAATTTTTTGTATTAATTTTATTACGTTAATAAATTTCTAAATTTAGTTTACCTATAATTTAATATAACATTTATTGACTGTTACGCGGTACGAAGTTCGTGGGATCACCTAGTTTAAATTAAAATACCTTTTAATATTTAACACTACTCCATCGAATTTGAGTATTAAACGCTAGAATAATAGTATATATGAAAAAAATAAAATTTAATTGATTGGTAAAAGTATGAATATATATATTTGAGCTGTTCATAATATTTGTACAATTTTATATTCGAGATATTAGGTCGATAAGAATTTCTAGATTTGTTCCAAAAAATTTGAATATTTGATTACTCATACAGTGCATTCTGTATGATACTGAAAAAACTTAAATAATTTGAACTATTCAAAGTGTGGCGTATCTATACAGTCAGTTTTTAATTGATTCAATTTTAATTTTATCATTTTTTCAAGTATAAATTTTTAACTGATAATTTTGAAAATTGGAAAGCTATAACTCGTATTTAATTGTAGTTACGAGAGTATATAAAATAATTTGATCCTTATGATCCTCTTACTATTTTATATTATAAAAATGACCAAAACTTCATCCAGAAGTTTTTATATGTTGTTTACTTTTATATGATACGTAGTAGATCAGGTTTTCTTAAGAATCAATTTGGTTAAATCTATTATGTAGTGTTTGTATGAAAAGTATGTTTTTTTTGTGTATTTGTAATTAATAATAAAGTAAACACTATATTAAATGTCTTAAAAAAACATTTTGGAGTTCCGATTTACTATTACTTTTTGAATAAATAATCCCGTATTTCCCGTATATTGGCTACTTAGTGTTTGCTTCCAACATTGATGTAAAATTGCCAATCAAAAAATGATTTTCTAATCAAAAATCAAACTAGCCGGAAGGACATGTCACAACTTAGTTTCTGGTGACAAAAAGAACATTTGTTTTGATAACTTTTGTTTTTGTAATCCGCGATGATCTGTTAGGACTTGTTGAGAATGATGATGGTTTTCATAAAGGAACTCGTCGATTTCAACGACTTAGGGTCCTTTCGATAACTCGTTCGTTTCTCTGATAATATAAAATGTAGCATGCTCTTGTTGAAATCAGAAATCATTCAGACTATAATCACGCACACAGAAAAATATATCGTTTTTTTTCTCGGATTACATTCCTATATAAGTTCCACTCAGTCATGTCACCAGGATCAAACAATGCGTTTTTGAGTATATATCTGTAACTGATTAATTAGTTTAGGTCTTTCATAATACAAATATGACAAGCTTTTTTTTTATCGACAATCGACAATCCAATCCAAAAGTTTTAATAAAATTCTACTAAGTCTTTGTATTATGATTTGCCAAATGTACTTCAATATCGAATTAATGTTAACAGATTTGAATATAGTATTTAAATATAATATTGTAAGAAAATATCGAAAAATCGTTTATAAATATAATCGTTTTTATATATAAGCATAAGGGGTTTTAAAGCGTCTATAAACTTGTAACTAATACTTTTTATTTATTTTTTTATAATATATATCACCTTAACATAGTTTCTATACTTTATTTAAAGGTTTGTTACAAACTCGTTGGTCCATTATAAAACAGCGTTATGTGGATGAGTTGCAGAAAGAGCGCCATTCGCATTACACACAACAAGTTTTCCATTCAACTTGGGAGCATTTCGACCGCATGTCATTTATGCGCGATATTTTGGCTAGAAAAGTTGATGAACGTGAACAGACACGCGAACACATACAAGAAATTGTGAGCGAACAGCAACATATGCAGACGCAGCACTTGCGTTTCGAGCCACGCAACTCTACGATGGTTGCTATGCAAACTGGATTGACTGCTGCAGAACATGCAGGAATGGTCTATGATGAGGGTGTAGCAATGTCACTTGGATTGACAAGTGAAGGTCCTGTACTATCGGGGGCGGTGCATGGACTGACACCAAATCGTAGGCGTGTGAAAACCGAACATGACTTGGAATGGGATCCATTTGAAATGATATTACATGTGCAAGGCACAGAGACTACTGCTAACAAGTAATTAACAACAATCAAGAAGACTGAGAAACTTTGATCTTATTTATATTGATATTTAAATCATTTTTCATATTATATTTTTCGTATAAAACACTTTATGTAACTTATAAATTTGATATGAGTTTATTTTTCTATAAAATAGAATAAAAACATTTAAATAAATATTTTGAAATGTGATTTTAATTTCCGTCAATAGCCTGATTGCATTACATTGCATTCACGTGTTAGCAAAGTGCGAAGCTATGTTAAGTTTTTATTCGTAAGTATAAGATATTAAACTCTACTATATTCACCCTCTCCTTAGGAATACGTTCATGGGTATACCAATAAACGTATTTAAGTTGCTGGTTGGCTCAATATGCGATTTGATAAATATGTATGTGATTTTTCGATCTTTTTTTCGACTTTCAACCATAATAGATGAATTTTCTTATATGTGTATATTTTATTACTACAAATTTCTAGCGTAGCACACAAATAACACGTTTTTTAATGTATTTCTGTAGATTTGCTTACCAACACTTAAGCTAACGTTAACTTTCCCGCAAATGCAAAATTCATATCACGCACATCACGTAGTAAAGTTTTGTCAAAACTCTGAACCGTTTATAAATCAGCTACAGACTCAAGTTTAAACGAAAATATTTAGAATTCGTGTGCGATGATGATTGAAAGGATTTCTTTGTTCCCAGCCGCCCATGTAGTCCTGCTTAGCTTAAGCTGTAAATGCATTCTGATGTAAAATTTACCGCATATTACACACGCGCCAAATTACTTAAATATTTTACATTTGGGGTTTACCATTTCAACTATTTTCAGTCATTTTCCACTCCTTTCAAATAATTTAAAAGCAAAAATAATATTTGAAGCGTGCGTAGCTTCATCTCAACTATCGTCTTACATTTATCAATGCCACGTAATGTAAAAATTTCATAAAACTTTTCCACAAGATGACAAAGTCTCGCACTATTGTGCATTGGTTTTGTACTTTTCTATTTATTTGACTTGTAGTCATTTTCAGTCCTAACATTTGCAGAGTAGTTATTTCCGTATTGACTTTTCTTTTTTCTGGTCTTAATGCCATCAAGGCATCTTCGTTGAGAGTTCCTAGTTTGTGCGCAAAATTATTTAATGTGCCTGCTCATGTGTGCGCTTAAGTATTTGTTACCAAAATGTTGCACTCTTGAAGGTAGTTTTCATAGTTGCTAAAGTTTCCACACCAATTCGCAAATACGCAAAAACGAAAAAGTTCAAAGTTTTAAATTTAAAATTACTTTTGCAAAGTTTATTTTCATTTCTTTTAAAAATGTTTTTGGCTCTACGCGTTTTGCTATCTGGTGACAGGACTGCGAAAAGCTTAACTAAATAGTATCTACCCAACATTAGACTTTGGCTGACAGCGTAGTTAAGAAATTTTTCAAAAGGATATTAAAATTAGTGAAAATACCTGTCAAGTTACAAGGTTCTGCAAAAAGTTCGTCTACCGCCAACTATTCGTAAATAGTTGAACTAAAACTTAATTGCCTCTTCAATATTCCAACTTCTATAAGAAGTTTTATAAATTTCATTACATACAATGATCAATATTTTAAATCATTTAGCATGATAAATGCCACAGTCACACACAATTCAACAAAAACTCTTTCGAATGTCTCTCTTAACGGAATGATGATCCTGCTTTTCTAAAGATCACTCTGATAATTTATCTTATACGCCGTAATATCTGATAAATAAGCTCTGGCTACTTATTCAGAGAGGCACCATTAAAATAATTTACAAATCATATATTTCATTATAGTATGTTTATATAAAATAATTTGTGATGTAATGTTATTAGTCTTTAAGATTCTAAAACTTATTGTCGAGCTTTAATTTAAAGCGATTCAATAAACACAAATTGTTAAAATATAAAAAAAAAGAATGTCTCTTGTCAGGCATTCAAGGAATTTTTTAATTTTGAATGGTGATCGTAGTTCTATTGTTAATACATGAGATGTGATCAAACAGTAATAAGAACTCTTAATGAACACTGGTTATACCATAAGCTTCAATTCAAAACCTCTCTAATATAGATACCAAGTAATTAGCTTTAAACAAAATCGTTAAAACCTTTTTTTAAGTACGATTTTGGAGGCGTTTTTTGACTTTGTATTTATTTCAATTTATATCAAAAAATGTTTACTTTCAAATATTATTTTGATATGGGAAATAGAAACTGTAGGGTGCGATTTGAGCAAAATGGAATGGTTGCGATATAACAGAAATATTATATTATATTATATTGTATGTAAGTGTTTTCCCAAATACTTTTAGAGAACAAATTATTTATGTCTACTTATTTCATATGCAAAACAGTAGAATATGTGGTGAGATTGTTCTCCATAAGCCTCCTTTAGCATATCATATAGTTTCCACCAATTTATTACGTTTTAAAACAAGATTTCGCACAAACTCTCTGAACTAATATTTTGCCTCACAAAAAAAAAATCTGGTGCCTTTAGACGGTTACAATCCAAATCCATAGTTTGGATTTGACATGCTTTGAAAATAGCTACTATAACAAGTTTATTGTCCTATGTGTCGTGGGGTACGTAGCACTCTATCGTTGAAAGTCAAGTGAGGGCATAAACAACTTTATTCTGTTAATAAAAAACAAAAGTACAATAGAAGTTTATAGAAGTTTAACATTCACAAATTTAGATTTATATAAACCGATGCGTAAATAAAGTGATATGAATGAAGTATAAAATGCGAAAAGGGCGGAAAAATTGTGCGATACTTTCCAAAACTATTAAGGTAAGCTAAGTAATTGGACTTTAAACTGAAGAATGTTTAATAGACGTGCGTAACCTATGTTATTTGAGTTCCCCATTTGTCGATTGGTTTTTTCTTTGTAGATCTGTAAATTCGGGTAACATTAAAAATAGAACTCTGTACCTCCCACAATTTGTACTGAAACAGGAATTCTTTAACATAAGATATTAAGCGTTTTTGACTTCATGTTTTTTTGGTAAAGTCGTGTTTAACTTCGTGCGTTTTTCCAAGAACAATGGTGATATTGTAGTAGAACAAAACAGATTCGAAACTATATTGAAACAAAAACATCAGCAAAGATATATATTCAATCGTTCAATGAATTTGTAATTAAAAAGCTTAAATTCATCGAACGTAAACATTTGCGGAATTATATGATATTAAGATAGACTATGATGTTTTGAAATATTCAAGTTTGTATTATAAAAGAAATTAAATGTAGATAACCTATTAATATTATATTATAATTTGTCTTTAATCATAATTATATTGTATCATTTTTCAACAAAATGAACGGGACGAAAAATTTGCGCATCAATAGCTTCTGATATAATAGAGAAAATATATATATTTACAATACTTGTGTGAACTTGTCGGATATCGCAATTTGAAGTCTATAACTTTTTATTCATTTTGCATAAAAATTGCATCCATTCGTAGAAACTATTCACTATACTGTAGTGTTGTGATTTGTTGCAGATATCACATCATTACCGATTTTGTTTTAATTCAGATTCAATCATATTTTTAGATACCAAAATTTCTGAAGATATATTTGCGTATTTGCGTATTTCAGTCATAATATAAATAAAAACATATGATCGTTTTTATAGGAGTTCTGAGTTCTGCCAAATATCTTAAGAACGAAACAATTTTTGTACTCATAAGTTACAACGGATACAACGTATATACAGATCATATTCTGTATTTACATTCGTTAACAGCAGAATATATATTTTAAATTAAATTGAAAGCTGCATTATCAGGAGTATTACTAATATTTGTACCGGGATGGCTATGTAGCTACTCTTCTCGTTCTATATTAATATAGAACCAAGTGCGAACTGTCAAGAAGTGTATGATATTTAATGAATAAGTAATGCTATTATCCAAATAGAGCCTTTAAAATATTCAATAATAAAAACATATTATGACAAACCGTTCTAATGTATGAAGTGTACCTTAGATCATTCTACGGTTGAAAGACACTCGGCAAATCGTTGACTACATTTTCTGTTTGATTAGCATAGAAATAGGTATACAAGTTATTTGTGGAAAAATTAAAATATAAATACTAAATTGTAACAATTTTTAATATAATACGAGTAACTTACGCTTTAATGTAGTGTAGATGCTTCATGAAAAATATATCGATATATGCTATATCTTCTCCACTACACATCTGTAGCAAGTATACAAAGTACCAAGTACTTTTTAAAAGCGTGAAATTTAAATTTATTGCTGGTAAAAAATAAAATATGAGGCAAATTTGAACTAAAAATTTTAGCATCGTCACATGTTTACAATTAAAAAAAAACGATGACCTCAGCTTATTTTTGTACACATTATAATAGTTAAATGCATTAAAAATTGGGATGTCTTTTTCAAACGGCAATTTATTTCAATAAGCTTCTCGATCTGAATTTATCGACTGCAGTCGGACGACATCGACAATACAGTCGATTTTGTTCACGTGCACTAAATTTATGATATAAAATTCTCGAGATAATGGAAAAAATAGTATTGACAGGGGTGTGACTCTTCTACTTTCAAGAATAAATATACCCAATAAAAGTATTCTAATATCTCATGGACAATATATTCATAAAACAATTTCTAGTCCATTATGAGGATCCAAATGAGGATGTCAAAAATCAACTGAACTGTTTTTAGCCAATAAAGGAAAAAAATTATATGAGAGTGGAATCATGCGATTGTCAGAATAATTTTAATATTAAAGACAAAAAATCGTCTGGTCAACCAAAAAGTTCAAAGAAGAAGAAGAATAAGAACCACTAATCGACGATGAACAGACCAAACATAAGAAAAATTTGAGCATCATTAGAGGTAACACAAGTAGCAATTTCTAAATGTCTAAACGCATTGGGATTTACCCAAAAGTACGAAAATTAGATGCAGTAAGGGTTGGAGATAAATGACATCGAAAGGCGATTGTGTTTTCGAAATGTTGCTTGAACTATATCAAAACATTTATTTATAATTATTTATAAATTTAATCGAATTGCAATTGATAATAAAAAAATTGATAAAG